TGCCCCCCCGGCACTGAGACTGAGTGTTCCTTGCACCAAAGCAAGTCTACATATAAACATGAACCTCACTGCAACATGAGACTTTTCTACTTTCCCTTTGACAGCAATGCAACACAGCCAATTCTAGGTCTACTGAGTCAACAGCCTGACAGTGGAATAAATCAGAGTCTAACGATGCTGTCAGTGATGTGTGGCTATGCAGCAGACTGACAGGGTTTGGGTAAAAAAGAAAAGGTTGACTGAAATGGATTCATTCACCAAAGCAAGGGTGTTCAGAAAAGAGGAATTGCTTTGCTAAATTGAATCATAATACAAAAGGGGCCATTGAGTTTGAACAGAGATATAGCAAGACGTGTCTTTCAAGGCCAGCTACAGATCCCTCAGCACAAAACAATCATGGATGACTTGTGACCAGAGAGGAGCAGTAAAGCAGAACTGCCTACCCCCCTTACATTTGTTAAAGCACTCTGACATAGAGAAAAATCTTCACAATGAATTACCGAGTAACTTAAAGAAAAGACACGAAAGTGGAAAGCTGGATGCTTTCCAGTAGGTCTAGTGGTGGACACAATATGATTTAAATGCCCATGGCAGTAAGCTAAACATGGTTATGTGCAGGAAGCTTAATGCTATATTGTGCATAGTGGTTTGTTCTAAATATATTGATGTATGACATTAAAGCTTTGCTTTATGTAGAATCGGTAAATCCTAAATATGTTGAAGACCATCAGCACTCTTTCACTTGTTCAAGGAAACAGTTCAATGTGTATTTCTAATATGTTACCTTTGTGCACAGCAAGTATTGGATCGCTCACCATCAAATTAGGATATTTACGGTCCTGTTGGGCTGAATTATAATCGCTTTAATTAACCCCTAAATTGTCGTCTAGTGGTCAAAAATTAGTTGATTCTTAGTTTTCTTGGTCAGGAAGATACAGTGGTCAATGTAAAAATAAAGGCATTAAGTCTCTATCATGCACCTGCACCTCATTTTTTCCCACTTTAATAACACATTTGCTCAGCTAACCTGTTGTCTTTTTAATGCTGAGGTAAAAAAATATCAAAATGTTGGCCTTGGACTGTCTGGAATTTATTTTTGTTCTGTTGTTGGTTGACTTACTAGAATGCAAAAACACACAGTAGGCGAATTGACATTGGCAGTATCGGGGTTAAGCTCAGGGGGCTTCCTGTCTTCATCAGGCAGTAAACTATTAACAGAAGGACTTCGCATGGCATTATAAATAGCAGACGCACACATAACTCAGACTCAAATACCCCCTCATCCCATCCTCTGTCTGGCATCAGCAGCAAGAAGCCCCCTAAGATCAGCTTGGGGCTTCTGCTGCAGGGCGATCAAGAAAGAAAATGTTGAAGATTATACAGAAGTGAAGGATGCCAGATCGAGGCTCTTATCCTCCTCTGAGCTTGGAATACTTTCATTTCCTCCAGACATGTCATTGACCAGGATCTTCTTACAGCACATCAGTCAATATGAGATCATCGAGTCACATGGGTTGGCCTTTGCCTCGACCTTTGCAGCTACGCTGAAAAGAAGCTGTGAGGTTTGGAGCAGCCAAGGGCCTGCACTGAAAAGACACTGTAAAACTGAACTAAAAGACTCTCATTGTGAAAATATGACAGCAGTCTCTGAAGTCAAGTTTCTAACTCCAACATTGTATAGCCTAGCCTTTAAAGAAACACACTGATCTTCTCTGATGCTTCAGGAATCAGTTTTGTTCTTGTGCTACTGTACATCCCCAAAGCCCTAGTGAATCGCTACAAAACTGGCAGCATGACAAAGCTGATCTGTATTCACACTTGTGCATTACAGGTTGTATGATCCAACCATGAGTAAGCACAGACAGAGCATCAAAGCAGTAATATCATTTTCACTATTGAATCAGGTGGCATAACACACAATGACTGTAAAACAGTACGGCCACAGGCGAAAGTAACCAAAACCTTCATAATACAAAAAGAAAATGAGTCAGTAGCATCTCATTACAGTAAGTTTCAGGCAGATTGTTCCAAGGTAGTGTATCAGAAGGGCAGAAGTTATAATGACAGCACTTTGGAAACTAAACTCCCAGATATGAAGTGCAAAAACACAGAGGGCACTGTCATAAAGCTTAATGGAAATGTATTATTCAGACAGGAAGTGTTACTGTGTTGCAATCTGAATAATACATTTATATGACTGAAAGTGCAAGAACATTTACTTAAAATGTTTTAGACTCCTACAGTGACTGTCCTACTAAGAAGAACGACAGAATCCATTGTTTCAGTCAGCGCCCCAAAGCAAGTGTGCATTCACGTGGCCACTATGACAACAAAGTACATGATTCAACCCTCGAGACTCTCAGTATGGTTTGTGTTTGTGATTTAACCGTCATGACCAAAGTACTGATTTAGATCCAAATCACGATTTCTCTTAAATTCAACCAAGGTGTCTTTGTGCATAAGCTAATCAAAACTTAAGTTGCCTGTGAAATGGCTTTGAAAGTCTCAGAGAAATTATGTTTTCCTGTTAATGGATCACAAAACGCAGACTGTTGTTGTAAAGACCATGAACAAACAAAGTTTGTTATCATTTTATCTGTAAGACTTAATGGAATTTAGGTCTTGTGGGACCTGGTGGGAGTTTTTCTCTTTAGAAATATCATAGGAATTCAATAGTTTTTAGACTTATAATGTAAAATTGTGGATTTTTTCAGGCTAATTGTTTACGATTAAATAGAAGAATCAATATTTTTCTAGTCGAATTTTATACCCGTCTACAGAGTCACTAAAAACTTCAACGTGAAAAGGTTTACACATGATAATGAACCTATAAAAAATACTGACTGAATCTGCAGCTCTAACGTGAGTTTTACGCATTTGTTTAGCTGTCATGTGCTCAACTTTAGTGTTTGGGATGGTAAAAAGTGAAAAAGGTATAAAAAATAAAAGGCATAGTGCACCGCCTGCTCGAAACCAAACAACAGACAGACAAAGTCACCAAGTATAAAAATATTAAGGCCTGCTTCTGCTGCTTGACGTGGCCAAACTAATCTGTTATTGCAGGTTTAAGTATTACATGTTTCTTTCCTGAAAATTCTGGTCCTTCTTGGATGAAACATTCTAAATGGACACAAGATTTTCTGAAAAACTTGCATGGTCACAAAGCAGGACCAAAATGAACCAAATAAGACTAAAATATATTTTCTATTAATTTCGGTGTCTGGTCAAATTACTGATTCTCATGATCTTAGTGTTTCTATATTCCTGGTTACAGCTATGAAATCAGATCAGGGATGAAATCATCAGTAAAGCAGCCTAAACATAAAGTAGCTGTGATGTCACAGCACACTGGCAGCAGCATTATTCATGCTACTCTCTTCCAGTAGATGCATCATCACATCAGCACATCAGGTCAGACTTTTATTGACTGTTTCCTGGCACTGACATCACTGACGGACAGTTTCTCAGTGTCTCTTGTTCACTCAGGTCACATCAGTAGGTGATACAATAACTTTATTCTCAGGGTCTGTTTTTAGAAGTTCCAGGAATCCTACTGACAGCAGGCAGGTTTTAAGTTGGGTGACATGACTCTGTCTGATGTCATTCTCCCGGTCTTTCCAGGCGACATGATGACTCCAGCCTGGGTAAACTGAGGAGCCGTCAGTTAAATATGGAGCTCCAAAACAGGAGCTTATTGGAAGTTAATTCCCCTCGTTCAAAAACTTGCAATGCAAAATGCATTTCCAAATATCATTATTCCCTTATCAATGGTGCATATGTCACTGTAAGAATCATTCTGAGCTACTTACACTTTAATTATGTCCATTTTATGCTACTTTCCTTCTACTCCACTATGTGTCAGAGTGAAATAGGAAACTCCGCTTTATTTGTTTACAGCTATAGTAACTAGTTAGACTGCAGATTTGGATTTTACCTAAAACACATGTTTATGTGTTAGATTTAACTAACCAGTAAAGATTTTAACACGACAGCAACAGACTGCTAATTACACAAAATATATGATCAATCCAATATTACAAGAGAGGCTTTAATATTTAGTATAATACATGTAAGGTTCCATTTAACTTTTGATATTGTGAGTGCTTTTTTCTTGATACTTACTTACCTTATGATAGTAATATATTTGCACTTCAACAAGTGATATTTTTAAGCAGGATTTTTACATTCCAATGCCGCTACTTATGTAAATGTGATCAACACTTCTTTCACTTCCACCAGTCGCACTAAAAAAATGTTCTGTTAACACCTATTCAGGTAGAATATTTCCTTCAATATAAATCACAAAACTTCAAGAGAGCTATGTTATTTAACTCTCCTATTTATAGCACTGCAGCAAACATTTCCAAAGATTTACAAGCAGACCTGTTGGTATCATTTATGCATGATTTATGGGGGACGGGAACTGGACTTGTGATTGCTCCGGTCACACTGAAAGACCATCGAAACAGCTAATGGCAAACAGCAGATTAGAGAACAAACATAGGCAAGCAAACACACATGCACTACTCATTTAAGAACACATGCCCGCAGCACGACACACTGAAGAACACCTCAGTATCTATACTCCACTGATTGTCTGCCAGTCCAGGATCTTCAGCCTCTCACCCAAAAACCACTTAAAACCCATTTTCTCGCTTTCAAAGAAATCAAACCCTTCCTGCTGATTCAGAAACCACTCTCATCCACTCTCCGTTTACTGTAAGTCATTGTCTTTTAACACGGAGCTCTGAACATGCTTTAACTCCTGCACTCAGTTCAGCTGTGAGCGGAGCGGTGATTTGGCAAATCTGAGGTGCAACACAGAAATGCTGACTGTAGTGGCCACAAAACTCATATTTCAGCCTTTTAGAGCCCTTAAATGATCATTCATGACATAGGAAGCATTTTGCATGAAGAGCAGACAGATATCGTACGTTAGAACTCAGTCTAACACACACGGGACACACAGGACAAACTCACTGCCGCATTCTCTCACTCACCAGCTCTGAGGATCTGGGGTAAGCTGCTGGTGAAGTGCAAGAGAGAAGCCAAAAAAGGTGCCACGGTCTCCCAACTTATGCAGCGTGTGAGTAGTATCCAGGTTAAAGCCCCAGACTTGATATATGAGGGTCAACAGAGCCCAGATCAAGGTAGTCCACCGATGAGAGGGGCGAGATGAGGGGGAAGCAGTGTTCCCATGTCCCACCAGGGCTGCCATAGCAGGGTGCAGGTCCTTCAGCAGAGCAAGTTCAGTCTAAGAAGAGCACAAGGGAAGATTCCTTTTATGGCTCCCAGAGAGCCAAAAGAGACAAAAAAAAAGGGGCAAATCCTGTGTAAGAGGTCCTCTCCTGTTCCTCTCCTCTGTGGATGCCTCCCTTGTTTCCAGTCCTCTTTCTCCCTCGCTCTGTCGTGCTCTCAACTCCGTTTGCTGCTGTCAGTCTGAAGAGCAGACTGCTACTACAATGTGTGTATGTGTGTGTGTGTGTGTGCAAGTGTGTTTCTCTCAATGCATGTGCGCCTCCCCCTCCTCTATGCTGAGAGGGAGACAGAGGACAAGTGCCTTGAATAGCCCGCTCACTCCTCCCCCTCCCCTCTCTCTTCTAGGCCCTCCTCTCCCTCCTCCCCCCTCTCTCTCAGCTGACATCAACACTCAGGGGACTTGTGCCAAAATACCAGGCAAGGTTGTCAGGATACTTGGAGGCTATTGAACAAGAGTGGGAGAGGGTAAAAGACAGCAGACTGTTTTATCTGTGGAGTTCACACGGTCCAAAGCTGCCTCCCTCGGTGGCCGCTCACTGCTGCAGGTGCTTGTGCTTGTAGGTCCACAGAGCATGAAGGTGAAAAAACTTGAAAGTTAAAAAGCTAGCAGATAAAAGAAACTAAAGACTTTTTTTTAAGTCTGAGCTTGAAAGCCCTGACATCTCTCTTCTGATGGCAGCGATCTGGAAAGAATCTGGGAAACAAAAGGGACAGAAATGTGCACAGTGACCCAAGAAACTTTATTGCAGACCTTTTGCCCCTCTGAAAGGCCAGAGTGGGAGAATGTCTGAGCTGTGACAGAACAATGCTAACACAGACATAATCAGGAAGATTGCAGAATTACAACAAAGCATATCATTTACCTATTCACAGTATCATTTACTTACACAAGTAGTTGTTACAAGCATTTTCCAACAAAGAGTTCAACCAACCAAATGCATTTTCTGACTTATTCCCTCTCTTAGCGATGGCCGACTACACCCACAGCTGCTTCAACCAGCTGATTTCTGTTTCTCTTGGTTCGAATCTCTGTGCAGCTGTCAGTGTGTCACCTCAACTGTTCCACACAATAAACCTCACACAAACAGTTGTACACTAATTACACAAACAGGCAAAAAAAAAACCTGGACAAGGTTTTCAGGACCCCATTCTTGCAATTTATGGGAGATAATGTCCTATTGGGGGGGGGTTGTGTGGCTTTGGTTGAATTCACGTTGCCAGTGCGCTTCTGTAGGTCAGATATTCTCATATTCTCATCCACCAGATTGCACTGAAAAACAGGATGTTTTTAGCTTATAAATCATTGAATATGACCTTAGTCTTTGTCTTTCAAGCCAACAATTATGAACCAATGAGAAGAGAAGAGGATCCAATTTATTGTAATATTGCCTAACTTATCAGTGTTGGAAAAAACACAAATTAAACAAAAAGTAGCCCAAACTATTACAACCTGCCTGAGTTATACATTTTCTTGCAGCAAAAAGCGCAAAATCAATTTTTATTTTTATTTTTATTTTTTGGACTCATTTCAAAGGTCTTATTTGTTTGGGCCAAGTAGACACAGCTGATATGCTATTAGAATGTTAAGAGGAAGATAGAGCAATGTACTGATTACGGTGTGGCAAAAGGCTGCAACACATTGCCTGACCATAATGAAAATGAAATCTGAAGAAAATTACCTTACAGCAAATGCAGTGTTGGTACATAAGGTATTCTGTGCATCATTTAGAGACAGGTGATATTTGCCTGACAATGTAAAGTCATTTAAACAGAAAAAGGATTACTTCCATTAAGCTAAAGTTTGTGTCTCCTATTCAGTTTTGCCTGCTAGTATCTGTGCTTGATGTTAGGCTTTTCACAAAGTTTTTACATTACTTAAAGAAGTTATTCAAGAGCTTATTATTCCAATTAAGTATATTTTAATTCTAGATAGTTTGAATTTAAGGCAAAGAGCCCCGCCTGCTCAAGCTAGTCAGCTGGTTTACTTTAATACCTGGAAATGCAGATGAAAAGTTAGCAAGAAGTTAAAGTTCCTTTACAAATTTTGCAGATTAAGGAGGATTAAAACCAGCCTAAGATTAGTGTCTCTGGATCTCTGTCATGGACTCTCACACACCAGTTTTCTGTTGGATGGTGAATTCCTCTCATGTGATCTGACTGACATCATGAACCAACTTCTGGTGTCAAACACTTTCTGCCCCCTGCTGCCCTTTTGGGGTATTTTTCTTTTCTTTTCTTTTCTTTTCTTTTCTTTTCTTTTCTTTTTTTTAAAGCAGATGAGCTGTCACTTCTCAACACACACACTAGAAAGCTACAACATTGAAACCATGTCTTATATTGTGTAGGCTCCTCTCATGCTGTCCAAACAGCTCTGATCTGTTCAGACATGTGTGATCCTTTAATTCCTATAAGTTGCCAGGTAGGGCCTCTGTGAATCTTGTCTTTCCAGTACATCACACAGACCCTTAATCAGACCGATATCTGGAGAATTTGGAGGCCAAGACAGCACTTTGAACTCTTTGTCATGTTCCTCAAATCATGTCTGAACAAAGCTGAAGCATTACAGAGTGCAATATCCTGCTGAAAGAGGTTTTATGTGCTGTTAGGTACCATGAAGGCAATTATGCATAATAACTTATCTTTGTTCATATAGTTTTTCTAAATCTGTAAGGTTTGCTAAATTCTTGGATTGTTTTTCTTCTACTTTTCTTCCTAATTTTTAAGGTTTTCAGAAAATGTATCATCAGTAGCGCCTCTGTAGGATCAGACCACACAGGTCAGTCTTAGCTCCAAATATGTATCAGCACATTTGTTTCTTGATTTTGTGTGGATGAACTCTCATTCAAAGTAGCTGTACTATGCAATCGTGTACTTTTACCCAGAATGTGCCTCAGCAGGTAGTTCAAGTACATCAGTGCTTTGAGTTAATCATTAACATCAGCATGTGCTCACATTAAGCAGGTATAATCTTTACCATGTTTACCCACTTAGTTTAATTAACATATTAAAATGTTTCTCCATTTCTCTTTAGGCCAGTCGATATGTTCTTTGGCAAATTGTATCCTCTTCAGCACGTCTTTTTTCTAACAGTGGGACTTAGGGGCTTCTTGCCAATAGATTAGCTTCACACAAGCATCTTCCAATTGTCACAGCTCTCACAGGTAACTTCAGACCATCTTTGATCTCCCTGGAGCTGATCATTGGCTGAGTCTTTGCCATTCTGGCTGTTTGAGCCATTCGAATGGTCTTCCGTCTTCCATTTTCTTCCACGTCTCTCTGGTTTTGCTTTGTATTTTAAAGCATTGGAGATCATTTTAGCCGAGCAGCCTATTGTTTTCTGCACATCTTTATACGTTTCCCCCTCTCCAATCAACATTGTAATTAAAGCACACTGTTCTTCTGAACAGTGTCTGGATCAGCCCATCTTCCTCAGGTTTTCAGAGAGGATTACATCAATCAGTACAACATGTGCTGGCTTCATCCTAAAAAAAGGGCCATCTGAATGAAACCTGTTTCTCCACATAATGAATGATGTCACTGATTAAACTCCAGGCTGTTATGATTTTTGAACACACCCCTTTCAATTAATTATTCTATTACACAGTCTCAGGAACATGCACATCATGAATGTTGGGTCTGTTGGTTTCTCTGTCTCTACTACACCTACTGATAAATTATTTGCCATGTAATAATATAATTTCTACCAAGAACAGTGGCTGATCTGGTTAGTCATGTTGGACTGCTGTTATTTTGAACACAACTGTATAAATGTCTGTTCAGAGTTCCAGAGCAATCTTTCCAAAAGGTAGTTATATTGGATGGATGGATGGATGGATGGATGGATGGATGGATGGATGGATGGATGGATGGATGGATGGATGGATGGATGGANTGGATGGATGGATGGATGGATGGATGGATGGATGGATGGATGGATGGATGGATGGATGGATGGATGGATGGATGGATGGGGTTCAGTCTCAACCAAAGAGTGAGGCAAATGAAAACAAAACTCAGTAGTTCTGTCTTTGCTAAGACTTATCTTTAGTGATGGGATGTGGAAACTTGTTATCACTTATCCTTAGAAATAGAAATGATTTAAACATACTGAGACATCAATAAAGCTGCCGTGTCTGTTTGTGTTTCCATGAATGTGGGAAAGTTCAGAATGCCGGAATCCCTTTGGAGCATCTTGGTGAGAGTGAGAGAGTGCATTGGGGAGTGTTGTGCTTCTGTCAGAAGATGTTCCCACAAACAACTCACTGGTTCACTGCAGAGTCCCAGATATTGTTATCTAAGACCAGATCCAAAGGTCGGAATCTAACTGATCTTCAATAACAGTGCATTCCCTGTGCATTATCTGTACGCAGAGCAGCTCCAATTTGAGATATAAATTCCAGAGGGACTCCACGGTGCAGAGGAAAAGGGAAAAGAAGAAAGGAATGGTGTGGGAGGCTGAGAAAATGCTGAAAACATCTTAATGGCAGCTCGGGCTGGAGGCCAGACGAGAATGCCTTCAGACAGAACAAAGCACAGTCAGAGGGTGATGTAGGAGAAAGAAGAAAAAAGAAGAAGAAAGGGATGAAGAGAAAGAAAACAATAAAGTTGCCTGGCTGTAAAGATTATCTGCCACATCGCCCATGACTCTGGCATCTTTACACAAGTGCTCATTAGCAGTCTGAGCCACACTTCAAGGAGAGAGCTTATTTTAGACGGCAGCAGCAGCAGCATGTTACAGCCAGGGTCATTTTTCCTGTTTTAGCCTCCCTTTGCTTTGATGACTGAGAAAGCTGCAGTCAGCACTACTACTGTATTGATTAATGGATAGTACAAGATGCTATAAGAGGGAGCGGTGCGGGTTATTATGGGATTAAATGCGAGCACACCCACTCTTTTACACTCCTTTACAGTACATGATCCCGAAGGAAGAGGTTAAATTGAATGCAGGAATTTTATCATATGACAGTATTTAGCAATAACTATCTGGATTTTTAGGAAAAAAGTTAATTTAATTTTACAGTAAGAGGGTTTAGCAAGCAAACTTATGATTTGTTAGAAACAAAAAGGCATTCATACATTGTATAAATCAGTGTAAACACCTTTTATTTAAAGTCTGAACTTGTATTGATGAAAAACATGCTCTCTGTGTGATAGTTGTGTGAAAAATAAAGAGAAGCTGTGCTGGTTGTAGCTGTGATTGTCACATTTGCAGCAAGAACACAGCAAGCAGATGTGCACTAAGTCTATGGAGGAAACTGGAACAATTTTAGAATGACTTTATTGTAAGAAATAAAAGAATCAGCATCATGCTGTAGTGATTTGCTTGTACATGACGCACTGATTTGTGAAATATTTGATATGCTTCATAGGCGGGAAACTGGAGCTTGAAATGACATGATTGTCACCACCATACCACCGTAAATGAACCTGTAGCACAGCTGCTGCACTAAAGCGAACTGGACAGGAATGATTAAATGGTAAAAGACAGACAGCATGCCAGTGAAAACATGTTTGCTCTATTATAATCCTTGTAATCCTTGTAAACAGCTAGTGTTGACATGGTTTTCTGGCTGGTCCCATTTCTGGGTTTACTTTAGTGTGGACTCTGAAGTGAGTGTTTGAATGTAAACTTTCAAGTGACTGTAATCAGTGGTTCTACAATAGGAATATGAAAATTCAGCAGCAGTGTGAGGTCCACACCTTGTTGTTTAGCTGTCTGGCCCCAAAACAAACTACCGGTTAACTGTTAGTTTAGGATGACAGGGTAAAAATGGTATTTTAATGATCTAGGTGTTCCTAAGAAAGACTACATGTACTTCACATAGGATAAAAATGCAAAGAATTTCACAGTCTCTAGTGATGTGTGGCATACACTAGTTGTCAAGTACTTCTCACTCTTGTGAGGTTGAACCTGCAGCATCCCCCACTTGAAAAGGCAGCTTGCTGGACTGGAATTCACTCAGTGACCAAGATTAATCTTTCTCTCTTTTCTTTCTTTATTATGAAAATCTTCATGGCCAACACAGGTGAAAAACCTCAAAACACAGACACAAGTAGAAGTTCAAGAAAGTGTAACCAAAGAAACATAATCAATCAACATAATCCAAAATCAAATACTTAATTTTTAAACAACTAGAAATTTATCTTGAAAATAAGTTGTTTTTTTTTTTTTTTTTAAATACCCATATTTAAAGCACCTAAAATAAAGCAAATATATTTTAAAGCACTGTTCAATGATGATTTTAACCTTACAAACTTTTGCAGCTTTTCACTCCCATAAATACACAAAAATCACAATTATCAAACTACTTTTAGATTGAACCTCTTTTAAAATACACCACATTTTTAACTGTACTTTTTACCCACATGATATTAAATGACATTTTAACTTGCATTTTAATCACATGACTTTTTCACACATTTTATCTGAACCTGAATTCACATGATCAGACCACTTAGTTCAAGCTGCGAAGACACATAACATAGCTGACAGCTCACCAGCTCCTTCTTCCTTCTTTGAATTAAGCTTTAATCCTGCAGTTTCCTTCTTCCAAGTCCAGACTCTCCAACCATTTTCACAGACACACTGCTTGCTGCTCACTGTCCTCTGTGTGAGTGCCTCGCCTTCACCTGGTGCACTTAATCTGGTGCCTTCAGGCTGGGAGACACATCCACACCTGATGCACTCAGGCAGAGAGGGCGTGGCCTGCAGCTCAGCTCAACATTCGAGCTACATTTTTTGAAAGATTCGAGTTATATTGCTGTAACTAAGGAGGACTGAGACAGTTTTTTAAGGGGTTGGCCTGTACAGAGTTTATGCATTTATTTCATTCTCCCATAAAACAAGACTGGACAACCAACCATGTATGCTGTACATCAAGTAGCTCAAATATAGTCACCTGAAATTTTATTGAAGACTATTAAAGACATCTATCCATTAGCTATACACCGCTTAACCCTCACTAGGGTCGTGGGGGGCTGGAGTCTATCCCAGCTGACTTAGGGCGAAGGCAGGGGACACCTTCGCAAGTCCTCAACTAAATATGTACGAAAATGTATCTTTGAAAGACCCCATGACCAGATGAGATGTTTACCATCTCCTGTAGCTTCATTGCCTCCTGCTGTAAACTGAGTATTGGGTGGGACATAATGTCAGATGGGGACTGATGTCAGAGGTTAAATAAGAGGCATGAAAAAGATTGGAAAAACTTTCACTCTGCTGTATGTGAAATATATTTAAGTACTCTGCAGAGTATTTGACTGTGAGAAGTGTAATGTGGCAATGTCTTTAGAGTACATCCTCGTCTTGTTTATGGCTCATGCACGTGTACTACAAACACACAAGATTTGAACCAACTGCCAATCAGACTATCCATTATCTATACACCACTTAATCCTCATTAGGGTCGCAGGGGGGCTGGAGCCCCTCCAGCTGACTTAGGGTGAAGGCAGGGGACACCCTGGACAGGTCACCAGTCTATCACAGGGCTACACTTAGAGACAGACAACCAAGCACACTCACAT